AAAAAAAAAAAAAAAAAAAAAAATTGAGGGATTAAAGGAACAATATTAGTTCTGATAAAATTATCCATTTTTTCTTCGCTTATAATTCTTATTGAAAAATTTTTCTGATCTTTAATTTTTTTGTCATTTCAATTTGTTATTACCATTTTACTAAGCACACAGCTAAAGTGAAAAGAAATTATTATTTCTTTTTTTTATCTCAAAATTGCGTAGTCATATGATACGGGTATCTTCTGCTGCTGCCACTGCGTTTATCTGCCTTTCTTTTTTTTTTTTTTTCTCCTCTGCTGGAAATTTGGCAAATCAACAGTTTTATAGAAAGTATCATCAAACAACCGGCGGATATTGGCAAACAAACAGATACACAACCACCAAAAAAAGTTCTGTCCACATCAAACACTTATTGCTATTAATACTGTATAATTGTTATGACGTCCCGGCAGTTTTATTGGCTTAAATTTGCAAAAATTTAGTACTTTTCTCCCTCTCTGGTAACAAATTCTTTCGTTTTTCTATTTTTTTTTCCCCATCCTTCAGTGCCCCATAACAAAGTATCAATGGTGTTAGAGTTATCGCAAAAAAAACCAAAAAAAAGCTACCCAGCATGCAATTGCTGTATCTGGTATTATAATACCAGTTTAGTTTTGTTGATCAGTATCAAGCATCAGTCAGCATCATCATCCTCATCATCAGTTCAACAAAATTTGACATTCCAATGGCTAGGCAAATATCCACCGCAATTTCGAAAACAAATATTTAGAATTCCGCCAGCCAATAAACTACAACCAAACAGCCAAAACAACATCCACAAAACAACAGCAACAGAGAATGCAGAAAAATAAATTTTTATTGAATTCTCGTTCAAAAAAATAAATAAATAAACAAATAAATTAAAATAACAAATCTTCGTTCTATTCTTCTTTGTTGTTTATCTAAGTTTAAATTACACGCTATTATTAGTCGCAATATATTAGTCCCCCTCCCAAAACGATGACAATAGCCTAATGATGCTGACAACAACAACGATGATGATGATGACAACGATGACCATGATGTGATGACGACGACGGCGTATGATGATGACGCTGCTGCCGTTGCTGGTGCAGCTGCTGCTGCTGCTGTGACGTCTAT